TTTTAATTTTTTTTAATTTATTTATTATTTATTAAAAAATAAGATGTTACGTATAACCCATTGGTCCAATACTCTAATTGATTTGATGACTAATCCAATTTTAAAACATTGTGAATAACCCAATTGTTGATAAGAAATTAATTAAAATGTAAGATAATATTAAAATAATTTTGATAAGAGTGTGATTGCTTTTTATGATTAATTTATTTTACATTATGTTTCAATTAATTATATTTATAGATATAAATACGTATACAATAATTATTACTTATATATATATATATATTATAATCCACTATAAACTATTAACAAAATCTAACTATAAAAAAGTATTAATAATTAATTTTTTTAACTTATTACTTTCAAGAAATATTTTTGGATTATATTTAATTTAAAAATTTATTTATACTATTGAGAGGTTACTAAAATGATTAAAATTAGTACCCAACTGCAAGGACTAGGCCTCACCAGCAACATCCTTAACCTCATAATGTAAATTACTTGCAAGAACATACAATAAGACAAACGCAAAACAAAGGAAGTGAGAAACATCTGACTCTAGCTTATGGCGTAAGATGTAGCTAGGCAATCAAATACAAATAAGACATACACATATATACATTGCATAGATAGATTGGTACCAATAACTCATTTCACCCTTTCGTAACATAATAATTAAATATCACATAATATTAAGATGCATTATATATGCAATGGAAACGGACTACATGTTATCATGCATGTGGCGCTAGTAAAAACATCACATATCACACTTGTGCATTATCACTAGCAATACATGTAGAGTAGCCTAGAAGTACATGTTGGGTCACACCCTCTGTGCACTTTCACTAGAGGATATACTACGAAGGTCTAGTTTAAGATCACTACAAGAAAAATGCTAATTTTCGATGGGCAAAATCCATCGTAAACAAGTATTATTCGTTGGAAATAGAGAATTTCCGACAAACATAAATCCGTCGAAAAAAGGGGCCATTGAAAATACTTTATTCCGTCGATAATTTCTGACGGATATATCAACAGATATTTTCGTTGAATTTTTTTTTACAAATATGTTATTGTTATTGAATAACAAGTTTAAAGATTATCGTGCTAATTTTTATTTTCATTTAAGGGGTTAATATTGTAAAAAATAACGTGTCACAAAAATAGGGGATCATCTATATATAAGGTTTAGATTTTAGTTAAGAGTTTAATGACTATGCATTATCGGTGTAAAATCTTTTACAGTGTCAACCAATTGAAATCACCATGGGTATGACCTTTAAGATAATTATAAAAGTCAATAAACTTAGCATGTATGATAGTTTGTGATTAGATGTAATTGTGAAACTATTTGACATGGTCGATGTATAATATATTTTCTCTTCATTTAAATACATTGAAAAATGAAGCTTTGACATTCTCATTAAATAATGACTTTTCAACTGTTTTGATGAGAAAAATTTTGTTATATTAAAGAGAAAAGTTTTCTTTAAATAATAAATATATTTTTAATATAATTTAAAAAATTAACCTTAAGTTTATTGTATCATTAGGTTGATTGCATTCAAGATAAACAATAAATTCATTAGATTTATTTTTGACCTTAAGAATTTTTTTGCAAGGATGGAACAATTTTCCTAATCAAGATTACTACTAGATGGTTTGACATCCTTCATGTATTACCTAAGTTATTCTTCAAGTGTTAGTATTTTTACCTCAAGTTCATTGAATTGTTAGTACGTACTTTAGATGTGATAAGCCTAATAATATAAAGAACTTAAGTTGAACATCGACACTAGAAGAAAAAGTTAGGTTACATGCAATGGCTATCAAACCTTTTATTAATTTAACCTCAACTAGGGGACTAATCACTAGTGTAAAAATTGGATTTAAAATTGGAGTTTTAAGATCGGTTACAAGGTAACCGATCTTAAAAGTGACACGGTGACAATTTTGTAAATAATATGAACACTTTTAAGATCGGTTATTTTATGACCGATTTTAAAAGTTCTACTTTTAAAATCGGTTATTTAAGAACCGATTTTAAAAGTGCTACTTTTAAAATCGGTTATTTCAGAACCGATTTTGTATGTATACAAAATCGGTTCTTAAATAACCGATTTTAAAAGTATCGTCAGAAACCTTTAATATTTCCCTCCATTCTCATTCTCTTTAATCTTTCCCTCCATTCCTTTCTTTACTCTCTCGCACTCTCATTTTCTGAAGTCTCCAATAAGGTAAATTTTGTTGTCGTTTTCGTTTTCGTTTTCGTCTTCTCACGCTCTTCTTATGTCTCTTTTCGTTTTCTCATCTTCTCTTGTCTCTATTTTCGTTGTAGGTTCATTTTAGGAAATTTTCGAATCTGGAACGGCCCGTTCTCCATGAAGAACAGTCCGTTCTCCTTACAGAACGGGTCGTTCTCCTTGCAGGCCGTTCTGCAAGGAGAACAACCCATATTGCAAGGAGTACGGGCCATTCTGATGTCCCGTTCCACACTTTCTTTTTAGCCCATTTTAACAACCTGGAATGGCCCGTTCCAGTTTTGGAACGGCCTGTTCCAGTTTAATTTTTTTTAGATACCAGCCTTTTAAGATCGGTTATAAAACAACCGATCTTAAAAGTTAACTTTTAAAATCGATTATTTAACCGATTTTAAAAGTCAAACTTTTAAAATCGGTTACGGAACTGATTTTAAAAGTTAAAAATAACCAATTTTAAAAGCCTTTTTTCCACTAGTGGATATTACAAATCTCCAAAATGTAACAGGCCGATTTTCACAGATTGTACGAAGGCCCAAAAGCCCAATATGGGTGATTTAGTAGCCCAGAATGGGTCATTCGCAAACTAGAACGGGCTGTTCCAAACTACTAAAAAGAATTATTTTTGGTATCCCAGAACTGGTCGTTCCCAAATAGGAACGGACCATTCCAAACCACCAAAATGGCCTATAACCCTAATTGGGAACGGGCTATTCCAAACATGGCCGTTATGGGTTAAAATGTAACCTCAGAACCGGCTGTTCTGGTTTTAGAACGGGTCGTTCAGGATGTGAAATTTTACACATGACGAAGAGTCCAGAACGGGCTGTTCTGGATTTGAAACAGGCCATTTTGACCTCTCCTGATGCCTATAAATAGAGCGCTCTAGCACTCCCAAAAAGCACACCTTTCAGTTTTGACATCTTTCAGTTCTGACTTCTTTTCCTTCTACATTCTCTGAAGGCCGAGGGGAACCTAGAGGAGGAGACCAACCAGATCTTGCTCTAGTTTCAGCTACTGCTTATCGAGGTACGGGAGAAAAGGGGAGATTTATGTGTAGAGTTAGATGAGGGAATGGGTGGAGAAGAGTTCCTATGGAATTTTTAATAATTTTATAATTATTTCTGTTTTGAAAATTATTGGTATTATGAGATTCTGTATGTGTTTAGGATTATGAATATATGATTAATTTGTAAAAATGATGCTCTGGAAGCTGATTCGATTGAGTGTTATATTAATTTATAAATGTTATTGTTATATTATATGGTAAAAATTGATGATGTAGATGAGGATTCATGGTGAATTGCTTGAGGAGTATGTGAACCACTATTTTGTGTGGATTTTGTGTATGTATTGTGGAATCGAGTTATGGAATGTGAATGTGATTGTGGTTCCTCACACTTATGACCAGGGGTGGCACGACCTTGGGTAAGTGATGCTACATGGATGGCGTGACCTTGGCATAGTGTGGGATGCGTGAGGCAATTAATACGTATCACTTATGTCAGGGGTGGCAAGACCTTGGGAAAGAAATGCTACATGGGTACCGTGACCTTGGATAACATGTCAGGGGTGAGCACGACCTTGGGCAAGAAATGCTACATGGGTGACGTGACCTTACACAGTGTTATATTAGGGGTAAGCACGACCTTCGGCTGCTACAGGAGTGGCATGACCTTGGTATAGTGTTAATTACAAGATTTGTGATGGATTGGTGTGATTGTGAAATTCTGATGTGAAGTTGATGCATGATTGATAGAATTAGGACATATAGAGATGATTGTAAACATTTCATTAAGTGATGAGTTATGATGAGATAGTGTTGTGTTTTCCTTATGTACTTTACATATAGATGTTTTCTTCTCTCACCGTATAATTTGTGGATGTTTTAGGTGAGGAAGATCCAGCTATGAGTGACATCTAGCATGCCAACAGTTAAATTATGGGTATACTCTGTTATTGTGACATCGGGACAGAAGATTTCTAGGACATAGATTTTTATATAGATTTGGAATTGTATTTATTTTGAAAACAATTTGTAAACTCTTAAGTTTTACTTTCCAAGTTTTATTTTCAATTATTTTGAATATTGAAGAACAATTATGAAGGTTTTATGTGAACCTTTTTACCAATGTTAAAAATTTTATTCTTTAGCTTATTTACATTATTACAATATATGTGTTGGGGGTAGTAAGGGTATCACACAAAAAGTCTTACATTGTTTAAGAAACAAGGTCAATGATAACTTATAAGTATTTTTATCCTTTAAACCAAGAATATATTTTTAAGAACAAAATTGTGAAGGATTATAAGAGTCAAAACAAATAATACCTCAAATAAAGTAGACGTAACAATGCAACAAACTTAATGTTGAAACATACATAAAATAAAATAATTTGTGTTAAAAAGAAATGAATTGATATTTTTTAAATAATTTTTGGGTTAAGTTTTTAGTCCTACGTGGTTTTTTTAATGCCTAATTTTTTTGGAGCATTTTAGTTGTATATGAAAGAATACTTGTAATTTGTCTTATTTATTAGTATAAATATTGGTGGTATTTTAAAGATTAAACATAACGTTTGATTAAGACAAACCAATATAAAATTTTTGTATTTTTAAGCTTGTTCTTATACATTGTTTTAATTGTTTTAAATAAAAGAAAATATTTAAGTTCTTGTTTTTAAGTTATAAATGTTTTAACTAAGAGAAAACTTTCATCTTATTAAACATCACCTCTTATCATACAAAAGGTTTTATGATTTCTAGAGGATTTATTTCTAAACACAATTCAACTTCTTTTCTTATGTTTTCATGTGCTTTATATCCCTAAAAAGTGATTATTTATTCAAAATAACCTAACCAACTACACTTTAAATCATTTGGTGTAAAGCTCTGGTGCTAATCTTGGCTTTGCTATTAATACAAGTGGATGAGCGAGAAATATATCATCATTGGACTCAGCAAGGTTGATGTGTGACACATTAGGTGGTGTAGTCCAAGTGAAGGCATGAAGCAACCTAGCAAATAACATCACAGTCATTGTGGTGCCAAGCATGAATCCTGGACAACCACGTCGTCCAGTGCTAAACGATATGAAATTCAAATCTGGTTCTGTCAAAACCACCTCATTCTTAAGGTGGCGTTCTGGCTTGAATTTGTTGGGCTCATCACTCCAAAATTTTGAGTTTCGCCCAAGCTCTTGTCTACTTAAGAGAATGTGGCTACCTTTTGGGATTAGGTAGTTACCCACTATTGTGTCTTGCATAGAGACATGGGGAACATTGAAAGGCACAATTGGGTGAAGGCGAAAACATTCTCTTGCACATGCTTTTATGTAGTTGAGCTTTGGGATGTCTGATTCTTGGACAAGCCTTTTTTTTCCTACAACTGTGTCTAATTCTTCTGTGGCACGTTGAAGCAACTCTGGTTGGTTTATCATCTCTGCAAGGCCCCACTCAACTGCATTTGATGGGTTATCCACTGCCGCCATAATCAACTCCTATACACAAGTTTCATATTTAATTGAGTTATTAGTTTATCTATAGAGTAGATAAATTATACACACACATATATTTTTGGACAAGAAATATCAAGTGACACATTCTTTTAACATATTTTTTTTAACTTTTAATAAAAATGCATGTATAATGCATGTCAAATAAGGTTTAAGGATAATGAATCTCATAGTCATAATTTAATGAATTTTAAACAAATGAATTTAAATGTGCTTGTATAATTGCTCTACATTAACATGTGCAATCATAAATGCATGTAAAAGAGAAATATACGAAGTGAAAAGTATATATTACTGTGATTTGTGCCTGAATTTCTCCGATTGTCAATAGCGGTTTATTGTTAACGTCTTTGAGTGAGATGAGAATATCCAAGTAATCTTCTTTGTCAATCTTGGACCCATTGTTCCATTCTTTGAGTCGTTGCTCAATAATAGGGTCTTGATACTTGTTCACGATTTTTATGGCCTTTTCCACCTTGCCTTTGTGACCATCCAAGTCAAGTACCCTCAAGCAAGGGACATAGTCAGAAACCCTAAAGTTATAAATGTACTTGAGCATTGTGAAAATAGCATCAAGATGTTCCTTTTCCTCATAACCTGGCCCTCCATCCTTCTTACCTTCCCCAAAGTACCTCATACTAAAGCTCAATTTCTTGATCACATTGCAACAATAGTGTTGTGTAACATCTCTCACATTAATAAGGCCAAAATTACCATTGACATTGCTTTTACACATGTTGTAGATGTAAAACACAAGGTTGTCAGCTTCTTCAACCCTCTTATTTTCAAGTCGTTGGTGGGTGGTGGTTGACAACAAATCATTCCCAATGATTTTCCTCATTTTCCTCCATTGTTCTCCAAAGGGCACCATGGTTGTGGTGAGATATTCACGACTAATAAGAGAAGTGGTTATGCTTGTGGGCCTAGAAGCAAAAATTGCATCTTGTTTTTTCAAGAATTCACAAGCGATGGTTGGGCAAGTAACGGGAATGACATGGACATTTCCTAGGCGGATACATGCAATTTCAGTGTTCATTTCCTTCATTAGTTTATGTATCCACCGAAATGTAGGTCTATTGGTAAGCATCTCTGGAAGGTTACCGATTATAGGCCATGGTTTGGGACCGGGAGGCAAGGGTTGTTTCTGTTTCTTAGTTTTGATAAACAAGTGTGATGCAAAGCCTTTGAGAAAGGTAATGCCAAAAATTAAAATAAACAAATAAGACCACAAGACTTGAAATTGAAGGTTGGACAACAAATGGAAGTAACCCATATTACTCGAAAATCACAAGATTCCTTTTAGGTTGTGTTCTACAGAGAAAGTTGATAAATGTATTTGTGGTGATGACTACAATATGGAGCACTATTTATAGGGTTTCCAATTTAATGCTCTTTTACCTAGAGTAGTAATTTGCGAATATTTTATCACTCTAGACACTTCATCATTACCTATCATTTTTATCCATCTTATATTTTTATTACATTATATTCGGCTTGCTTCTTTAAACTTTTTTTTCTTAATTTTTTTTAATAAAATAAGAAAACTTTTAATTTTTATGGTGTATTTTCTACTTTATTTATCATGTGATTTTATAATTTTCAATAAATTTAATCAATAACAAAAAAGTTTGTTATTAACACTCCTCTAATTACTATCATTTCATTTCAACTACTCTACTTAATTAGACGGTCAATTTTACTTAATAATATATTTATGATATTTATTAAATGTAAGCAAAACATTAATAAATAGTACATTGACTAACAAGGTGAAATGTTTTTAGATGATTTTCATTTAACCACAAATCGTTTTCTGTGTTAAATTTGTTGATTTTTATAATAATTTTATTAAAAACAATATTCAACATGGTTTTTGATTAATTAACAATGTAATTTTTTACACCGACTTTGAATATCTATTAAATTCTAAAAATGAAACATATGTTTCAATACATGTTATAAATTTTATATATTTTTTTATAGTTTACAAGAATTTTTTTATTAATATATATATATATATATGTGTGTGTAATTATATTAAATTATTAGATAGAACTTTATTGCTTATACATAAACTATTTTTTATTCTATTATTACTGTCTCTCGTCAAAGATATATGAGTTCATGAAAATATTATATAATTTATCTCTTAATTTTTTATTCTTTAATAAATATATTATATTTAATGAATTGTAATGTTTAACCATTTTATTCAATTTGACTATATATTTTTTATTAATATAATATTAAAAATTATAAATATTTAAATTAATTTACTATATATATTGTGTAAATAAAAATTCAATAAATATCTATATTTAATAAATATAATATTTAAATGTTTAACCATGTGGTTTAACTTGACTGTATACTATGAATTTGAAAAATGTGATTTAACTTGACTGAATACTATGAATTTGAGATATGTGATTTAACTTGACTATATACTATGAATTTGAAAAATGTAATATTAAAATTTTAGAAACTTCATTTTATTTATAATATATTAATATATTAAGTGTAGTATTTATTATATAACATTTATGACCTAAAAAAGTATTTAATAAATATTAAATATAATATATGTTTGCTAAACATTTGACATCTCATATCAACCTATTTATTTATTAAATAAATTATTAATTACAATAACTAAAATTATATTAATTATATTTAAGTAATGTTTTAAATACTTTGAACATTGACAATTGTTTATAATTTAATATTAATCCACATTATTAAATGAATTTGGTCTAAATAAACGATAACAATGAATCTATATTATTAATTTAATGTTTGATAATATATTGTTGTATCCAAGTCAAATAAAGAATAAAATATTGTACTACATTAGTATTGTTTCTATTTGGGATTGTTGGTTGGGTTTAGTTAAGTTTATTATCAAATTATTCCGACACATTTATGATTAAATGGAAATGATGATTCAAACAAGTTTGGATTTAGCAATTTATGGTAGTGATGATAAATAAATCTATACTTGTGAGTAATGTAACATATCCCAATTTTGATGGAGAATATTTAATTTGATTGATTAAGGGAATACTCAATTTTTTAAACTGGTATGGGGATGAAGATGAGTATATACTTATTACCTGTCATGTGCCAACTACAACACCTTCAATTTTTTCATTACTAATATTTATGTATTTATTATATTCTTATAATTATTAGCCTGATTATATTAAATGTTTATATTATATGTGTGTATGATTTTATACTTAATTGTTTTATTTTATCATTTGAGACTTATACATGATTTGGACGAAAATTACTCTCCAAATTCTCTCTCTCAAAGCTTGTTTCTCTCTTTTGAAATTCTTTCTTTTCTCTTATCCTCTCTTGAGTGTGATGAGAAATTGAAGAAGCTTATTACTCTTGAAAATGTCGCACCACAAAGGAAAGTCTCTACATCATCTTCTATGATGGAAATGGCTTCTAGCATCCATAGAAGCCATTGAAGAAGCTTGGAGGAGTCCAAGAAGTGAAGACCCATTCATAGAAGTTTGAAGGAGAAGCTACACCAATCTTGTTTCTCTTAGAGTTTCCATCACACATGTTTGCACTTTGAAGAATTGGGAGACCCAAAGCTCGAAGGAGATCACCCCAAAGATTCATGTCCTTCGTCTAGCATCCACTAAGGTAAGAGGGAGTGAATAGTCTCTCTTTGGGCGTGGGTGTATGCTGGATAGTGATATTAACCTCTAATGTCTTTTCTGTCGCATGTATTATATGAAAGGGGAAATTCCCAATTTATATATATCCCACATTTTTGTCTTCTCTATGATTCTTCGATGTTCTATTTGATAATATGAACATGCATACGGTTTAAATTGATGTTTTAGACTAATCTTGTGAATCTATTGTCTTGCTTATAGGTTATTGTGGGAACCCTAGGGAATGCATTGGGTGATTATATGAGAAAATTGTATGAATATAAAATAATGTATGTAATTTGTGCGTCTTAGGAGTGTTATATGACCATTTAGAATGCTTTTACTAATTGTAATCAAAATTTGGTGAATGATTCTTGTGTTTTGAGACTTTCATTTTATGTAGATTGTGTGTTCTCTTATATGATGTTGGGTGCCACCTTGGGCTTGTCGGACATTGTAATGACCCGGCTGACCACTACACTCACAACCACAACGCACTGGAAACACTAGACAGAATAGAACGAGTATATAAATATAGGATCTAGAATATAAATATATACAAATGTCCCAATCCGACTAGAGTTAGGGTGTACAATACAAAAATATATCCAAAGCCACTATACCAAGTAGCTGAAATAAACAAAACATCAAAAGGAGACAGCTCCGCCTGCCAGCTGCAGACTCACCACTATCCACCACCTATCCCTGCTCTGCTCCCATACATAGTATGATCATCGCAGTTCAACCACATAGAAACAACAAAAGGGTAAGCTAGGATAAAAAGAACAACATATAGGAAGATTTAAGTAGTATGAACAACTACAACTATCAACACTTTATCGACATACATCTCGTCAATTTTTACGACATAATCATCAATAAGCATACAATGCGTTGTCACGCATATCAACTCGGAGATCTCCTACAACAACTCAGCCTTTCGGCCTACATCAACTCAGTCTTGCAGCCTACAACAACTCAGCCTTGCGGCCTACAACAACTCAGCCTTGCGGCCTACAACATCAAATATCAACATACAGCACAACACAACTTTACAACTCAACACAACAACTTACAACAATATACAACTGATACAACTCAATATATCAACTTACATCAATATACAACTGGTACAACTCAACATCAGCAACAGCATTATCTACTCGTCATCACATTATATTCATCCATCTCAATTCAACTCAGTATAAAACAACATTGTACAGCATGTAATGAATTATCATCTATGCGCCCGGCACACTCATGGTTGCGCCCAGCGTCCCCAAACCCACGCCCCGCGTGGGGAAGGCAGAGACCTCCCTTGGTCTCGTGCCCAGTGCAATTTGAATTGCGCCCAGCGCCTCCCATGGCAGAGACTCCAAGGAGTCCCCGCGCCCAGCGCGGCCAAAATCGCGCTCAGCGCCATGCCAAAAGCCCAAAAATGAGTCACAACTGACATCGCGCCCAGCGCGGTTCAACCCTCGCCCGGCGTGGGCCATCCAGAGGCTAACATTTTCAAGCACGCCCGGTGCACACATCTTTGCGCCCGACGGGCTTGCCTAAATGCTGCCCTCAGGTGGCCACGCGCCCGGCGCGAAGAACTGCGCTCAGCGCGAGTTCAGCAGTAAACCTCATACTTTCGAAAACTCTTCAAAAATCTACAAAGTAATAAGAAGACTCCACATGCAATCGGTTCAAATTACCACATTTTCATCCAATAGTCCAAAAATACTACCTTTGTACACATGCAACAACAAAATAAGAAGATCCCCAAATTTTTCTCAAAACTCCGAAAAACCCCTAATCCCATATTTCAGCCACCTCTGCTCAAAAGCCAGCAATCATCCAACATTAAATGAGTATACACACTCAGTCCTAGCCAAACACAGTAAAATAACTAGCTTCCCTTACCTCGGGTAAAAGATCCGAGCTTCGGGAAATGGAGGACGAAGGGAAGAGGAAGGAGTTTGAAAACGAACGGAGACGAGAGACAACTTCAGCTAGCTCTGCCCTAAGCTTGAATCAGCACCTTCTAAACCAAGGTCACCACAAGGAGATAAATCAGCAAATAGGAAAAGGAGAGAGTGAGAGTGGGTTGAGAAGAAGAAGGTGAATCAGTCAAAGTGAGTGAAGGTAGGGTTTTTGGGAAGAAAAGAAAAGGAAAGGGTTTCACAACCTCCCTAACAACAAGAGTTTTTATCCCCGAAAACAGACTTACTTGGGAAAAGAAATGGGTAACGCTCCTTGAACAGTTGTTCCACCTCCCATGTAGTTTCACCAGTAGCTGCATCCCACAATACTTTTACCAAAGCAATAGACTTGCCCCTCAGTTTCTTCAGTTTTCGATCAGTTACAGCTACCGGCAACTTCTCAAAAGTCAGGTTCTCCTTCACCTGCACATCATCTAGCTCCACCACATGACTCGGGTCATGAACGTACTTTCTCAGTTGGGAAACATGAAACACATCGTGCAGGTTTGAAAGGGACGGTGGCAAAGCCAACCGATAAGCAACTGGACCCACACGCTGTATTATCTGATAGGGACCGACAAACCTCGGTGTCAACTTCCTTGCTCTCAGCGCTCTACCCACACCAAAGGTCAGAGTCACTTTCAGAAACACATGTTCCCCCTCAGCAAACTCCAAAGGC